AAATGCTAGTATCATCATCATCATCATGCCTGCTTGTTTCTCCCTGCCCATAGATTTTACTTAACTTTATCTAGTGCAGTAGGAAATGCTAGTACTCTCAAAAAGATCTGACTTAGTCTATAACCACAGAATTTAGGATTCAGTGCGGGGTTCCCACTGACTACTACAGATGGGCACCGCTTTGAGGAATGCTGACCTAGGAAAATAGAGTCTCAGAGAACAAATATACTCCAGGGTGGCAGGCAGTTCATATTTCACAAGCATTCCCTGCAGGGTACTTGAAATAGGGAGCTGCTCGAGTGCATCATTTGTCTGTGCATCACTCACTATCCAACTGATGGATTACAGAGAGCAGAAAAGCTTTCAGCTAAAAGTCATTGGAGTCAGCTGCCAATGGAGCATAATCACAAATGATAAGGCTGTTCTGAAAAACTCATATAAATCAAAGGGAAAAATGATTTAATCCACACCCAAGTTAAGGAGGGGCACAACTAGAGTGGCAAGTGAGGCGCACCATTAAACCAGCACCCCTCAAACTCCCTGTCATGTTTCCTTCTCTTTGCTCCATCACTGATTTCTCTTTGGGCTGTCCTCTTCATTCTTGGAACTTTCTCTTTGTTGTTCAGTCATTTTCAGTCATGTCCAACTCTTTGTGACCCCATTTGGGCATTTCCTGGCAAAGATACCAGAATGGTTGCCATTTCCTTCTCCAGCCCATTTTACAGATGAGGAAACTGAGTGATTTGCCCAGGGTCATACAGCTAGTAAGTGTTTGAGGGTGGATGTGAACTCAGGAAGATGAGTCTTCCTGACTCCAGGCACAGCACTTTATCCACTGCAGCGCTATCTAGCTTCCTGAACTTTTTCTATATTACTACAGAAACCACTTCACCCTGGAAGTTCATTCTGCCCCTTGACTTTTCACACTGGAAGTGCCCTATGTCCTTGCAGCCTCTCCCTTTGTTTGGCTGTCTACACCTAGAACCTTGGATGTCCACGTGCCCCATATCTTCATTCCTCTCCAGCATTGGGTACCTTTATTCCTTCCTTCCCCTGCTTTTAATTTGTGGTCTTCCCTCATTAGAATATGAACTCCCTGAGGTCAGGGGTTGTCTTTCTTTCTACTTGTAATTGTATTGCCAGTGCTTAGCAGAGTGCCAGGTACAAAGCAAGCACTTGGTAAATGCTTATTGACTTGCTTTGACAGTTAAAATATGTACTTCACAAATTTAGCATCTTTCTATGTCCCCATGACATAGCTCATATTTAGAATATCCTGACCTCCTTTTTATGTCCTCCTTTCACTAGTTCCTAAATAATCAAGGAACACTGAATGACTCCCATTGTCTTGGCTGAAGTCAAAGGGCACAACTCCAATCACTAACTAATGGCTCATAGAATAAAGAGCTAAAGTGGACCTGATTTAATGGAAGCTCCCTGAAGCAAATTCCAGTTTCATTTGTCTCTTATTATAATTTCTGGGACAAGGGAGGTGTTTATTAAATGTGGGCTGACTGATTGACTCTGGGCAAGAGACCCAGTGGTTCTAAAGCCCTGCCACAAACTGATGAGATTCTACCAGCAGCAGAGAAGCCAGAAGTGCTGGTCTGTACTGGTTATGTGGGGAGTGTTTGTGAGTCTGGTTGGATTGATTCTACTGTGATGCAAATGGATCCAAATGAAAGCACTGAGGGGACTCTTGTCCTCTGATGTAGATGTGATCAATGCTGAAAACATAGAGAGGGTTCTCTTGTTCAGGCAAACTAGTTAAACTGAGGCAGCAGAGTACAGTGAGACACTTGAGTTGGCTTTGCCACATGCTACCTATGTAACCTTTGGCAAATCACATTATTTCTCTAGAACTCAGTTTGCTCATCTGTAAAATGAAGAGGTTGGACTAGACTTCTAAGGTCCTTTCTAGCTTTAAATCTCTGATCTGTGCCCCATCTGTATGGTCTCCCTGTATTCAAATTTAAGCCTTTGAGGACAGACACTGTCTGTTTTAGTATTGAGAACTTCAGTGCATAGCGCAATACTTAACACGTAGTTAAGTGCTTAATAATAACTTTTTCATTTATTCATCCATTTATGTTATTTTTCTAACAATAATATTATTCTTATTGACATAACATTTTATAGCTTCAGCACTGCACTGATGAGTGAGAGTTAGTCAGAGGTCCACTCTGGATCTCTGAACCTTTTTTTTTTTAACCCCTGCCATGATTACATATGGCACTCACCATACATCTGAGCATGGTTCTGAAGCTTCTGTTTACTTCGATGAATGATCCAGATGTTATTGCTTCAGAATGGCGTTACATTATCAGGTTGCTTTGCTTTATCTTCTTTTCTAAAGTGATTAGAACACTGGTTTAAACTTGGCTTCCTCATAGATTCCTTTATGAAAAAGAATAGAGTCCAGTGGGATTATTTTAAAATCCCCTTCTAACTTTTCAGTTTCTTTATGGGAACAAATTGCCATCAGTTTAGCTTAAGATATATGTGGTCTGGTTACCTTTTATTAAACTCCCACCAGACTTCAGGAGTGGAATGTCCAAGAAATGCATGTGTAGTACTGTGCATAATTTATTGGCCACAGGTTTCACAGCGAATAGTAGGATATAAATTACCCAGATTATTTATTAAGCACAACTTGCTTTTCAACCAATGAGAAAACTCCAGTTCCCAAGGCAGGGCTATATTAAGAATCAAATCAATCACTCAAGTAAGCAGGCATTTATTAATTGCCCTCTATGTACCAGGTACCATAGTAGGTGCTAGGAATACAATGGCAAAAGTGAAACTGGCCCTGTCTTGAAGAGCTGGATGAGACCTTAGAAAATATTTCATGCAAATCCCTCATTTCAGGCAAGGGGAAACTGATACAGTTATCCCTTCCACAGCTTGGGGGTTAGGGGGGATGGTGCCCCTGTGAAATTCACATAAAATTTTTTAGCCCAATCCATACCAGAAAAGAAGTCTGAATTATTATGGTATTAAAATATGTTGATATTATACAACACTATACATATATTTTATGCATTTCTGAGCTTTTAAACTTTCTTCTGTGTTGTCTGCTGGCCTTCGTGCATTGTCTGTGGCTCCAGCAAAACTCCTCCCAAATTCCCATTTAATTCGCTATGCTGACTCGAATTATGTCGAAACTGCGATGGAGAAAGTTATGATGTGGAAAGGATAACTACCATGATTTGCCTGAGGTGACAGAGGTAGTGAGTTGCAGAAAATGAATTTGAACCCAGGTCTTTTGACATCAAATCTGGCAGTCTTTCCATTATAACAATGTCTTCCCAAACTCAGTTCCCTGATAAAATAAAGAAGGAGAAAAACAAAGCTCTTCCAATCAGTTACATATCAGAGGGATGATGGAAAAAAGCATCATTAAATCAGTCTTTCTCTGGCTCCCTTCTCAGCCAGCTCAAGCCCAAACCTTATTTAACAACTAAAGCCAAGAAGGAAACCCAGGGATGGCAAAGAATGGAAGTCCATACTGACCTTTCCACTTAGCAGAGGCTGATGGCAACATCAGTGTGAGAAGGGAGATTGTTTTGTGGGGGTGGGGATGAGGAGGGGAAGGGAAAGCAAAACTAACTTGACCTTGATATGCACAAGGATGAGAACACAGCAGAATTTCCCCCCCCCCCTTTCTGCAAATGATAACATTAAGTAGAATGCCTTACCTTGCCTTTGCTGGGGGCAGGACTACCTCTTATTTTTTCACTGCTGGAGAATTATTGTACTTTGGAAATTTCAGCTAGGAGGTATCTGGTGGGTGGGAAAGTTCTGTTTGTGTAAAAGGTTTTTCGAGGCTTTCTCATTTCTCTTTATCGGGGCTAGTGAGGAGACTTTTTGACCCACTTAAGTTGATTAATATGCCCCTCCTTCACCTCTTTCCTTCTCCTCCCTTGCTTCTCTACATTAAATAGTCCATTAAATGACATCATTACAGAGTACTTAGCAAGTTTCTGAAAACATCCAAGTGTTCCTGAAGCTCGGGATGCTCCCTCGGGTTGAAGTCTGGGGGGCATTCTACTTGTTTCCATGCCTAAGTGTGGACATTTTGGGGCCATCTGCTTTCAAGTGAGTAACTAGATCAATAGGGCTGGAGAGTCTAGTTTTACAAAATAAAATATTCATCTCTCGAAACATTTGTAATTAACCAGCTGATATTTGTAAAAAGCTCCCATCCTTAGCAGGATTCTTGTACAAGCCACCGCAAACTTTACACCCAGGAGACAAAGAAATAGAATGGTGGCTGATCTATTGTATTGAGCAAAACTATACTGCTGGATTTTCTTACATGAAACATTCTTTTAAAAGTCAAGCAACAGATACAACCCAAGGACACAAGAATGGAAAAAGAAAACACATTTATGCACACATATTACAAGAGTCTTCTTGTCCCTTAGCATGTATATGTGTATATATGTACTTGCCCAAAGCAACATACGCAAATATACAAACATGTGCACTTTACACAGACGTTTTTTCTTCTGAGCTATGCATGGGCTTGTAAGAAAGTGAATCTGTCTGTGTGTGTGTGTGTGTGTGTGTGTGTGTGTGTGTGTGTGTGTGTGCGTGTGTGTAAGGGTGGGCGTGGGAGATGGGGGTGGGAAAAAATAGGAACAAAACTAAAAGCTAATTTGTTAAAAATCCATCTTTAAAGGTCAAGAGAATCTTTAAATCTTCCACAGGAAGAAAGTAAGACCAGACAAAAGCCAGGAGGAAACCTTCCTGATAATGTTCTTACCATGTGATTTCCTAAAGCTTAAGCCCAACCATGTCCCACGCCTCTTCTCATTTAATAAATTCTGATGGCTCCCTATTACCTCCAGGATCAAATTCAAGGCCCTCTGTCTGACATCTTAAGGTCACTTCCTCATTTCCAGTCTTCTCATTCATTAATCATGCCCACACATTCTCCAAAAGCCATATAGGTCACTTGCTGTTCCTCCCACAATACCCTATCTCCTTGTGTCCAGTCAGTCAATCAATCATCCCTTGTACCTGGAATATCCTCTCCTCTTCACCTCCGCCTCTGAGAATATTTGGCTGTCTTTAGAACTTAGCTCAAGTGCCACCGCCTGTAGGAAGCCCTTCCAACCACTCTCTCCCATCCATGTTGTCAGTACTGAAGAGCCCGGCATTCAATAAGGTACGTTCCTGTTTGTGACACGGCTCCTCATTTGAATAAGCTCCTTGAAAAGTTATCCAGGAAGAATTTTTGCTCTGTCTTTTTATTTCTATTATTGAATACAGTACCTGGAACATAGTAGATGCTTCATAAAATCTTATTGACTGAGTGGTTGGTTAATGGCTGTGTGTGGGGGGGAGCATTTGAATGAAAGAGGCTTCTTTTCTCTGTAATGGGGGATGGGAACACACAAAGACTACCTAACATGATATAATCCATATGGTATATGCTGGAAATCTGCTTCCTGGAAACTGGACCACGTGTAGACATTCTGCAATGGTCTAGCTCATGGTAGGAAGCAGTCTTTTTCCATTGGCTACATAGCTGGAACAGCTGATATCTTTAAAATCTGCCGGATACAACAATAGTGAGGGTTTTTTGTTTGTTTTGTTTTACTTTTGCTAGATTTAAGTCTGAAAAAGAAGTCTGAAAAAGACCTGATGACCATGTCCTTCTTCCTCCAGCCTCTTGTCCATATGGTCCCAAGAAGCGGTGCCTTTTCTGATCCCCAGGATCTTCCACATGGATGGGAGTCTCTCATCTGGCAGGGGAGCATTAGCTACGTGAATCTGAGAATCTAGAAATTGAAGCTGGATGTTGTAGCCAGACCAACAATGACCCTCTGGTGAGTCCAGCTTCCAGACCGCAGCCCAGCCGAAGCCAGCACAGCCAGCTTTGGCTGGGATTGATGATAGGAAGGAATCTTAAGCTAAGCTAAAGCCTAATGCTGTTCCCAGAGACTGAGGTGGTACACAGAGGTAAATTATGACCCCCTAGCATTGGGGGATAATCTTTCTATATTTTGACATAAACATCCCTTTGTGAAAGCTAATCTGAAATTAAGTGGCTAAATGGAAATGGACCTGTAAAATGGGGGCAACATTGCCAATGGGAACATGGGCCAGTATCATAGAAAAGAGACATCTTACCCCTGGGGTAAGGCAGAATCAGGAAGGGAATAAAATGTAATAGGCCTGGTCCTAAGAGAGGAGGGGTCAGAGCAACCATGGTACATCTCCAAATGAGTAAAAATGATTCGTTCAACTATTAAGTGATTTCATGTGTTGATACTGATGTTCAGTCATCCCAATCACGTCTGGCTCTCTGACCTCATTTCTGGTTTTCTTGGCAAAGACACTGAAGTGGTTTGCTATTTATTTCTCCAGCTCATTTTACAGATGAGGAAACTAAGGCAAACAGGGTGAAGTGACTTGCCCAGGGTCACACAGCTAGTATGTGTCTGAGGCCAATGAGTAGACCCAGTGCTCTCCCCACTGTGCCATCTTTGGGTGGGGTCTCTTACCAATGCTAAGTTTTTAATAGTTCTATTGTACATATTTCTAGAATGTTGGGGGGATAAAGATGTTACATACTCTGAAATTGTATGATTATAGGTGGTCCTTGAGCCAAAGCTATAGGCTGGGAGTAAGGGAAGGTCCTCGAACTAAAAGTTCATTGTTCCTGCTAGCTAAGCAAACAGACACTACTTAACCTTTTAAAGCCAGTTATTAGAGAGAATGCTGAATATTGTAGATGTGAGCCCAGGTACAGGTTGTGTTTACGCAATCTAACCTGTGATGTCTAGTGGATATTACTCTTTTAAATAATTCAGTCGAGGTTTTACAGGCAACAAATACATCTGGCATTTTATTGTCATCTCTCCTAAGAGGAACAATCTGCCCAGACCAGAGGGCCATGACCTTGGTACAGATCGGTGAGAAAAGCAACCAGATTGAGAGTCAGAATATCTCTGAATCTCGGCTGTCTCCTCAAATCAAATGCACATTTAAATGTTCTCTCTCTATAGGCTCTGCAGCAGGCAATGGGGAGACACTGTGTGCCAAGGATTCTGTGGAATGATTGGTAGGGGACACTCTCCAAGGTTGCAGGTAATGATCCATCCATCCCTGCCCATCCTGTACAACTCCCCACAAGAGGTCCACCCTATGGGGCTTCACCTGTAGAAGAAATCAGCCCTGTCAATGCAAAGACAATTGTCCTTGCCTTAAAGGGGCTCACCTTCAGCTCCATTACTACCAAGTAAATATCCGAAGTCCCAAAGGCATTTCAGGAGGAGAGAGAACTAAAAAGTGGAAGGGGATTAAAAACAAAAGTCTTGTGACTCTTGGCAAACCAATTTTCTTCTCAGGACTTGAGTTTTCTCCTAAAATTATGATGACGATGATATTATTGTTTTTGTTAATAACAATGATCTTAATAATGACTAGCATTGATACAGGGCTTATATAGGGCAGTTAGGTAGTGCAATGCGGAGAGAATGCAGCTTGGAGTCGGGAAGACCTGATTTCAAATCCAGCCACAGACACTTACTAGCTGTATGACTCTGGGCAAGTCACTTAACCCTGTTTGCCTCAGTTTCCTCATCTGTAAAATGAGCTGGAAACTTCTACCCCCAGGAGCCAAGATGGCGGAGTAAAAAGGTAGTCATTCTCACTCTCCCCTATCAACCTCTGAAAACCCAGAAAATATCACCTCAGAAAAAACCCCTGGAACAGCTGAACTAGAACAAAGATGGGGAGCAACATTGTGGCAGACCAGCAAACGGGTCTCCTACTGCCTCAGCAAAAATAAGAGAGGCAGAACTACAAGGGGCCCCAGGTGGAAAAGTACCCTGTGGCATTCATCTGAAAGAAGCTGAAGAAAGCAACCTAAAGGCTTCCTAAAGCCCTGGCCTTGCTGATTCCAACCCAACACCAGGTGAGCTGTGGGAGCCCTGCAGCCTCCAATCTTGAAGAAATCCTGAAGCCCAGGTGGTAGAGCAGGCAAACACCAACACCTGGACCTCCGAGGGCCTCAGTGAGAGCAGGGAACCGGTGGAGGCTAGCTGAGAAAACCAGCAGGTGACTCGGCACTCTACCTCAAAGGAATCTCCCAGTGCATTAGCAGAAACAGGGAGTCAGCACTGCAGGGGCCCCAGGCAGATAAACACCCTGCAGCACCCATCTAAAAGGAGCTGAAGAAAGCTAAAGGAAAGGAAAAGCAGGCAACCTAGAATTGCCTGAAAGTTCCAGCCTTGCTGATTCCAGCCCAACACAGGTAAGCTGCCAGAAACCTACAGCCTCCAATTGCCAGCATAAGAGGCCCCAGCACAAAAGCCAGTGACCAAGACCTAGGCTCCCAACACAAGAAGCTTGGGTCAGTGCCCTCTGTTCCCCAGCAGGAGAGCTCAATCTCTTTAAAGGCCAGGGAATAAAGAAACACCATGAGTAAAAAGAAACGTACCATAGATTCATATTATGAGAAGAGTGAAGATCAAGACAGAAATTCTGAAGAGGACAACATTGTCAACAAACCCACATCTGCAACAACAAAAGGGAATATGAACTGGTCTGAAGCCCAAAAAGCCTTCTTAGAAGAGCTCAAGAAGGATTTTAATAGTCAAATGAGAGAGGTAGAAGAGTCCTTCAAAAATACAATTGGCCAATTGGAAAAAAAATACACTGAAGAAAACAAGTCCCTAAAAAACACAATTGGCCAATTGAAGAAGGAAGGACAAAAACTAACAGAAGAGTACACTGAAGAAAAAGTCCCTAAAAAACACAATTGGCCAGTTGAAGAAGGAAGTACAAAAACTAACAGAAGAAAACAATCTGTTAAAAACTAGAATTGGACAAATGGAAACTAATGTCTCTATGAGAGAGCAAGAATCAGTCAAACAGAAACAAAAAAATGAAAAAATAGATGAAAATGTAAAATACCTCATCAGTAAAACAACCGACCTGGAAAATCGATCAGGAGAGACAATTTAAAAATTATTGGACTACCTGAAAATCATGATGAAAAAAAGAGCCTGGACAGTATCTTTCAGGAAATCATAAAGGAAAACTGCTCAGAAGTCCTAGAACCAGAAGGGAAAATAACCATAGAAAGAATTCACCGATCACCACCTGAAAGAGATCCCAAAAATTGACAACGCCAAGGAAATAATAGCAAAATTCCAAAATTACCAGATGAAAGAGAAGGTGCTGCAAGCAGCCAGAAAGAAACAATTTAAATATCATGGAACCACAGTCAGGATTACACAGGACCTTGCAGCTTCTACATTAAAAGACCGCAGGGCATGGAACATGATATTCCATAAGGCAAAGGAGCTTGGAATGCCGCCAAGGATCAATTACCCAGAAAAAATGAGCATCATTTTTCAAGGAGGAGGTGGATATTCAAAATAGGAGACTTCCAAACTTTCCTGATAAAAAGACCAGAGCTCAACAAAAAATTTGATCTTCAAGTACAGGACTCAAGAAGGACTGAAAAAGGGAAACGGGACAGAAAGATACAATATGTTGTTAATAAGGGGGGGCTGTTTAAACCCCTACAAGGGAATATGAGACTTGCAACCCTTGAGAACTGTATTGTTATTACACCTTGTTAAAGGAGTATACATAAAGAGGGTGGATATTAGTTGACTTTGATGTAATGATAAAAAAAAATCTAATCAAGTGGGTTAAATGGATCCAAATAAGTGGATCAATCTGATCTTAGAAAATGTACTGAGAAAGGAGGAGGCAGACAAGGGTAAATTACATTACAGGAAAAGACACAAAATCCTATTACAGCAGAGGGAAAGAAGGGGGGAGCATTGTTTGAACCTTACTCTCATCAGATTTGGCTCAAGAAGGGCATAATATAATCAGTTAGGTATAGAAATCTAACTTGCCCTATAGGCAGTAGGAGGGAAAAGGGGAAAGAAAAGGAGGGGGGAAAGAAAAGGGGGGGAAAGAAGGGAGGGAAGAAGCAGTAAGAGTAAAGGGGAAGAAAAGGGAAAGGGATAATAAAAGGGAGGAGGGACTGAAGGAGGCGTGGTCAAAAGCAAAACACTAGTGAAGGGAGGAAAAAGGAGAAAGAAAAGCATAAATGGGGGAAAAGGATGGAGAAAAAGACACAGATAGTAATCATAACTGTGAATGTGAATGGGATGAACTCTCCCATAAAACAGAAGTGAATTGCAGAATGGATTAAAAACCATAATCCTACAATATGTTGTTTACAGGAAACACATTTGAAAAAGAGTGACACATACAGGGTAAAGGTAAAAGGCTGGAGCAGAATATATTATGCTCAGCTGAAGTAAAAAAGCAGGGGTAGCAATCCTGATCTCAGACAAAGCAAAAGCAAAAATAGATCTAATCAAAAGAGATAAGGAAGGAAACTACATCCTGCTAAAAGGCACCATAGACAATGAAGTAATATCATTACTAAACATATATGCACCAAATGGTATAGCATCCAAATTCTTACAGGAGAAGTTCAGGGAGTTACAGGAAGAAATAGACAGCAAAACTATACTAGTGGGGGACCTGAACCTCCCCTCTCGCACTAGATAAGTCTAACCACAAAATAAACAAGAAAGAAGTTAAGGAGGTGAATAGAACATTAGAAAAGTTAGGTATGATAGACCTCTGGAGAAAACTGAATGGGGATAGAAAGGAATATACTTTTTTCTCAGAGTACATGGCACATACACAAAAATTGACCATGTACTAGGGCATAAAAACCTCACAATCCAATGCAGAAAGGCAGAAATATTAAATGCATCCTTTTCAGATCATGATGCAATAAAAATTATATGTAATAAAGGGCCATGGAAAGATAGACTAAAAAATAATTGGAAACTAAATAATCTAATCCTAAAAAATGATTGGGTCAAACAACAAATCATAGAAACAATCAATAATTTCATTCAAGAGAATGACAATAATGAGACAACATACCAAAACCTATGGGATGCAGCAAAGCAGTTCTTAGGGGAAGTTTTATATCTCTAAATGCTTACATAAATAAAATAGAAAAAGAGGAGATTAATGAATTGGGCATACAACTAAAAAAACTAGAAAAAGAACAAATTAAAAATCCTCAACTAAACACCAAATTAGAAATATTGAAAACCAAAGGAAAATTAATAAAATTGAAATTAAGAAAACTATTGAACTAATAAATAAAACTAAGAGCTGGTTTTATGAAAAAACCAATAAAATAGATAAGCCTTTGGTTAATTTAATTAAAAAAAAAAGAAGAAAACCAAATTACTAGTATCAAGAATGAAAAGGGTGAAGCTACCACCAAGGAAGAGGAAATTAAAAAATAATTAGGAATTATTTTGCCCAACTATATGCCAACAAATTTGACAATCTTAGTGAAATGGATACATATTTACAAAAATATAAATTGCCCAGATTAACCGAAGAGGAAGTAAAATACTTAAATAACCCCATCTCAGAAAAAGAAATTGAACAAGCCATTGATGAACTCCCTAGGAAAAAATCTCCAGGGCCAGATGGATTTACATGCGAATTCTATCAAACATTTAAAGAACAATTAATTCCAATACTATATAGACTATTTGGGAAAATAGGTGAAGAAGGAGTCTTACCAAATTCTTTTTATGATACAAATATGGTGTTGATACCTAAACCAGGAAGAGTCAAAATAGAGAAAGAAAATTATAGACCAATTTCTCTAATGAATATAGATGCAAAAATTTTAAACAAAATACTAGCAAGTAGATTGCAGCAACTTATCACAAGAATAATACACTATGACCAGGTAGGATTTATACCAGGAATGCAGGGTTGGTTCAATATTAGGAAAACTATCAGCATCATTGAGCATATCAACACAAAAAACAGAAACCACATGATCATCTCAATAGATGCAGAAAAAGCTTTTGATAAAATACAACACCCATTCCTATTAAAAACACTAGAAAGCATAGGTATAAATGGAGTCTTCCTTAAAATAATAAATAGCATTATCTAAAACCTTCAGCAAGCATTATATGTAATGGGGACAGGCTAGAAGCATTTCCAATAAGATCGGGGTGAAACAAGGATGTCCATTATCACCACTGTTATTCAATATTGTACTGGAAACCTTAGCTTTAGCAATAAGAGAAGAAAAAGAAATTGAAGGCATTAGAATAGGCAAAGAAGAAACAAAGCTATCACTCTTTGCAGATGACATGATGATATACTTAGAGAATCCTAGAGAATCAAGTAAAAAACTACTTGAAATAATAAACAACTTTAGCAAAGTTGCAGGCTATAAAATAAACCCACATAAATCATCAGCATTTC